TTGGCGACCGCCTCCCGCTGCCCGTCGATGAATGGCAAAGAGCATAAGGGGGAGATAATTAAGAACCTCGAAAAAAAATTTATGTCGTTATCAAATGCGTATCACTGCTCGGAAACTCGTCCAGGAAATATAAATAGAAAAATCTATTTATGGCAAAAAATTTATTTTGAGAATAGAATAATCACCATTCGCGTCCTAAAGATATCTTTTGATTCTGTTTCCAAATTAAACACGAATTTTCTGATTTGTTACCATAGTCATGCTGCAAGAATCAAAGGACACACAAGACATAATCGACAGCAAGGGCAAAGAAGTAATTTCGGGCCATCGACGAAAGGTTTCCTATTTACTTCCAAGAGACCAAAACGACAAAACCCCCCCGAAAATTATAAAAAAAAAAACAAATAAAAAAGGAAAATAATACCGTTTTCGTTTACATTCATTTATATATTTATTTTTTCTCTTTGCCTCCAACGGGGGAAGGGAGGAAGGGCAGGGACGTCATTATCACGTCCCCGCGAGCCCTCTCTCGTCATTTCACCCCCACCACCACCACCACCACGACCACCACCCACCTTTTCCCCAAGAAACACTCCTCCTCCCTTCTTCGTCAAGCTCCACCACTTCACTCTCTCTCTCTCTCTACACTCCTCGCGGGCGCGGGCGCAGGCGCAGGCGCAGTCGCTTTCTCTCTCTAGGAAGGGAAGGGAAGGGAAGGGAAGGTAATCGGAGATGGGGAGCCGCATCCCTTCGCACCAGCTCAGCAGCGGCCTCTACGTCTCCGGCCGGCCGGAGCAGCTCAAGGAGCGGGCCCCCACAATGGCGTCGCGGGCGGTGCCGTACACCGGCGGCGACATCAAGAGGTCCGGCGAGCTCGGCAAGATGTTCGACATTCCGGCCTCCTCCGGCGAGGGCCCCCCTTCCCTCAAGCACTCCCGCCCCTCCACCTCCTCCCAGCACAACAGCGGATCCGTCCGATCCGGCCCCAACTCCGGGCCCGTGCCCGTGCCCAAGTCCGGCGCCAACTCGGGCCCCGTCAAGAAGACCTCGGGTCCCATCACGCCCCTGGCGCCGACGGGGCTGATCACCTCCGGGCCGATAGGGTCGGGCCCGCTCGGCTCCGGGCGGGCCAGGTCGGGCCAGCTGGAGCAGCCGGCGGGGACGGCGAAGGCGGTGTACGGGTCGGCGGTGACGAGCCTGAGCGATGAGGCGAGGGTCGGGTTCAGGGTCTCCAAGGCGGTGGTGTGGGTGTTCTTGGTGGTGGTGGCGATGGGGGTGCTGGTGGGGGCGTTCTTGATGGCCGCGGTGAAGAAGGCGGTGATACTGGTGGCGGTGGCGGCGGTGGTGGCGCCGGCGGTGGCCGTGGTGGCCTGGAACTGGGCGTGGAGGAGGCGGGGGCTGCTAGGGTTTGTGACGAGGTACCCGGACGCCGAGCTCAGGGGCGCTGTTGATGGACAGTATGTGAAGGTCACTGGGGTAATAATCTCCAAATTTTCTTTATGTTCTTTTCGAGTTGGATTTTGTGGTTAGCTTAATTAATTAGCTTTATCCTGTATATATCATATTGTATTCTCTGGGTGTACTTTTCCTTAAAAATCGTTAATTTCCTGGTGTGAATGTAGAATTGGTCATCTGCTTATGTAGAGGATTCGATATGATGTGACAATTTACCTTAAAATGGAAGTATTTAAGTTCTTTGCTTATCGTTGGATTGTTGCGCTCAAGTTTTAGTATAGTAAGCATAATTTTGGCAGTATAGGGAAATTTGTCGATGGAGAGATGAGTATCGTGCGTTTTGGGCAGATAGCTCGTTAAGTAAAGCATCATTTTTGTCGAGAGTTTTCAAGCATCGAGAGTGCTCGATTTGGCGAATTGGGGAATAAGTTCTCGATACTGGCTTTTTTCGATACCTAGGAATTGAATTGCTACGTTTTGCATATGGGTTCTCATGAAGTCCTTTTCAGATGTTGCTTATGTTACTTCCTGTCAGGACCGGTTGGGATTGAGTCTCTTGCTTTTGGGACTAGAAATTGACAGTTTGGAATCTAATACCTTGGCAACTTGCAAGTTGCAATTGCCTCGTAGTCCAACAGAGAAATCTGAGGCTAATGAGTGATTGCAGATATTTTGCTGTTTAGTCAACATGTTTTTCTGGTCATTATCCGTTGCATTGGAAAATGCATTGGCAATGCCTGCTTGTTTGTGCTAGGCATGGTATGCTAACAATCGTCCTTGGTTGAAACGAGTTCTCCTTGTTTTGAGCCTCCCACTTTTCTGTATCTTCTGCGTCGCCAAATTATTTGGCTGGTAAGGCCGGTGTTATTTTGAAGCGCCCAATGGACAGGAAGAGGTTCAATAGTTATCTGGTGCTATTACATATTTCTGAACATCCGGTGCTGATTCTGGAGTTGCTATGAATTTTTCTCATCCATTGAGATATTTGAAATAGTCTCTGCTTCCCTCTTCTTGTAAAAAGCTGCTGATAGGTCCGTGACTCATTGTTCGGTGAAAATAAACATTGTATGATTAGTGCTTCTTTTGTATGCACATCCTTCTCTTTGATGCCAAACATACTCTGTCAAATAATTCTGAAAATGGCTCGATACGATTCTTTCCCATGTGACTGCTTATGTGTTATTGTTTCGGAGGGTGCTTGATAACATTCTATCTCTTGTAGGTTGTCACCTGCGGCAGCATTCCTTTGGAATCATCTTATCAGAAGGTGCAAAGATGTGTGCATATATCAACAGAATTGTACGAATATAAAGGATGGGGTGGAAAATCTGCAAATCCGAAACACCGTTGCTTCTCATGGGGATGTAGACATTCAGAGGTAAGAAATTGTCTTTCTGGGTTGATATGCTCACAAGCTTGTTGAACGCAGAGTCATCGACTTTATTTGTGGGTTTTGACATGAACTGATGTCCACTCTTAGCTCTTCAATTCAACGAACCTAATGATTGCTGGAAGCTGCACTGTTTTCAATCCCACAATTTCTTATTAACTGCTGCATGGATTTGGCCTTCTTTAGTCTCAATTTTATATTGTTCCTCAAGAGTTGGCACTAGTTACGTGTCGATGTTTTGCTACTATGTTCCCGTTTGCTAGTCTAGCACTTCATGAACTTGAGGACCTGCCTCGACCTTCTTTTTCACATTGATCTAATAATGATAATGTCGTATTTGCTGAACAGAGGTACATGGCTGACTTCTACATATCAGACTTCCAGTCAGGATTAAGAGCACTAGTTAAAGCCGGCTATGGAGCGAAGGTTGCTCCATTCGTCAAACCCACCACAGCGGTAGATGTGAGCAAGGAAAAGAGAGATTTATCTCCGAGCTTCTTACGCTGGCTCGCAGAGCGCAGCCTTTCGTATGATGATCGCGTTATGCGCCTCAAAGAAGGGTATGCGATAGACAATATTATATCTTTATCATCTTTCAGCTTATTCTCTTAAAAGGAAGTCTAATGAGTAATAATTCGCCCTGAAGATTCCTCTCTCTCTCTCTCTAAGATTTTTCTTTCTCTTCTGTTTTTGGCATCAGATATATAAAAGAAGGAAGCACGGTAAGTGTCATGGGTGTCGTGCGACGCCATGATAACGTACTCATGATTGTTCCACCTCCGGAGCCCATATCAACGGGCTGCCAATGGTTCCAATGCCTACTTCCAACGTATGTGGAAGGCCTTATCGTGACGTGTGCAGATAACCAGGACGCTGACGTAGTGAACGTGTAAATACCACGGGTTTCATCTTGTTGTATTATTCACGACGTGCTCTCTCCCGTATATATCTAAGTGACGGAAGAACGACGGGTTCTGTTAAAACTATCCACTGTTTTGCGAGTGTTCTCTAAAGGGGCGAGGAAATGTTTGCATCCAGAGAGCCGATGACGGACGAGGTACGAAGGGAATGGTTGAGACTCGAGAATTAGCGATGATGTGCAGGTTGTGATGAAGACCCTCAAGGGGACAGAGTATATATTTTCCTTTCCAAGAGGCTTAGGGGAAAAAGTGTATATTATGATGCTGCAGATTTCTGAATTTGGTTGATTTTGTGTACGTAAGTTGCAGAGGCTTCTTCTGAGGAATGCAGAAAGTGTTTGCTTCTCTTCTGATGTATTAAATTCTAGAATGAAGATAAGTTGTTCAACGTTCTTTCTTTTAATTTTTTTTTTTTTGCTGTCATATGCATGTGTAATTATCGTTCCCTATTTTATATTGCAAGTGTCAATTGCTTCTGAACATGAGAAAAGAGTCCCAAGTCTATCATCCCTTAATTTAAGCTGCAACTTCGACAGCCAAATCAACGATTAGTTTCTTTTGTCTATGTGAGAGCTTCGCGGTGTTGGTGGCAGAGTCATATCCCTTAATGGTCCCCTTGGTTCGTTATTTGCGAGCATCGCTGCTACTGCCAGCCGCCCTATACTCTCTAATTTAGTTTTAATTCAAATCTTCTTTGCGGTTCATGAAAATTTGGACGAAAATGCGCTTGAAATTAACACGTGAGATGCACGGGCGCGCCGGCCGATCCTTTTTTTTCGCCCATTCAGGGGACCATTTGAGAAAAATTCGACTTAGTAGTACGTTACGAAGACGAACCTACTTGACTAATTGGAACCTTCGCTTTTTCTCCCGCTCTCTTTGACAATTTGTGCAGCCCAACTGTAGGTCGAAATGTCCTTGCTCTTCCTTCTTCGTAGCGATCCACATCGGCTGCTTCATTGTAAGTGCAAATTTTCACAAGATTTCTCTACATTTGCTGGAACATTCCCTTGCTTAATTAGCGTGATATTCATGCTTTCAAACCTTTGATGCATGTTCTAGTCGACCATCCAAGACAAGTATAGGTGACGTCTGACACTAATATAAGCAATTAAACAAAGACTACATACAGAAAAACCTAATGGGTGATGAGATTTATGTTTAGAAATCTCTCTTGGGTAAAAACCAATTCGTTCTTCACAAATTTGAACCGAAACTTAACATTCAAGGCATAATTAACCTGATAACCCCATCTGAGGGTGTGATGGAGCATCGGAGACCAAAAATGTTATACACAAGGTTTGTTTTTTCAGATAACATGCCATGTAGCAAGAAAACGTGGCCTCAACAAAGAAGGCACAAGCCCCGGAAGATTCATTCATAAGGATTTCTGAAATTCTTCAGGAGTTCAGGGATCTCGTAGCCGAGCATGTCATCGACGGCTTGAATCATCTTGGGCTTCAGCTTTTCGAATTTATCGATGTTGTAGCCACTCAAGACCTCCTTGAAATGATCAACACTGGGAAAATCGCCTGCTGGTAAATGATAATCCCTTTGAACCTATTTCAAAGCACATATTCATCAGGTAATGTGAAATCAGCATAAAGAAGAGACAGAGTGAGAGAGAGAAGGGACCTTAGCAAATTCATCTTCAAGATTGTCAATTAATCGCTGTTGAGCCTTTGCCTTGCCCATCATGGCAGGCATCTCCTTCTTAAGATGACTAATGATGTAAGCATGAATCTTAGCAGCCCTAGCACGCTTCACAAATTCGTTGATCTGCAATAAATGGATGCAGCAAGATGATTCACAATCAGTATGCAGTAACAATTACTTAAATGCATTGGTACTCAATACACACAAGATAAAATTATAGAAACTAGTCCTTTAAGCGTGAAATTTTCACAACGTACTCGACGGTCACAAGCTTTCTTAGGAATGTCAATCAAGTCCGCAAGAAGGTCATCCTGCTCTTTTTCGAAGAGATCACGTCCTATAGGACCCACAATGCCTTCATTAACAGGCTTGTCATTGAAGGACCTGTGATTTCAAAATAATGGTCAGCACAGAGGTACCCAACAACCAACAAGTAAAAGTTATAAGTAATAGGATCATAAGGTAGAGGGAGAGAGCATGTGCTAAGAAAAATCAAGCTTTTCAAACAATGTTTCAAAGAAATAAATTTTCATATTAAAAACATACCCGATATAAACGCGTACAACTTCAGGAGTGTTCAAAACTTTTCCAAGCGACCACATCAGTGCTCCATAGACTCTCATCAGCTGTAAATAGCACAAGCAGCTTAGCTAATCCTCTCATAGAGAATATGCCTAAAAATGCAGGTGAGGAGCGAAGACAAACTATATGAGCTAGACATCTTACTTGTTGCGTATCGACTTGGTCTGCTTTATTAAGAACAACACGTATCTTGTCATCATTACCGCGTAGGGATGCGATAACACGCTTGAACTCGTCACTGATATCAAGTTTATGAGGATCAAACAAAAGAAGAATCATATCACACTTGGCTGCAAACCATGATATGACACCAGTAAAATCATAGCTCCGTTGGGTTCTTTGCTTTTCTCCGGATAGAACACCGGGAGTATCCACAAAAGTAATTTGATCCAGCAGCTGCAACATATCATGGAAATATTGATGTCTATTTGTTATTGACAGAGAGCCTTTAGGAACCTTTGGACTACTTTTTGAATCTGTACTTTCACGCTTTTTTAAATCAAAGTCATTATCGACAAAAGAAAATCAAGCCATTATATTTTTAACTTTTCTAATTAAGTATTTCTATTTGCACAAATTGTCTCATCAAGTCCCTTAAAAAGCAAATCTGGCAAAATCAGGCTAACACGCCTGTCAGACGACACCCTAGCGTGACATCGATAAATTTTTAAAGATCAGGACCAAAGAGCATGTTGAAAAAATGAGACTATAACTGGAAGAAGAGGATATTTCCTCTCTTTTTATTTTCCACTGTAGCATCCACATCAGCATAATCTTGTCCACGTCACCCTCGAATGCTGATGGTCACTTAGTGGATTTAACCGGATATGGTGTCAGAGAGACTTAATTAGACAATATGTGCAAATAGAATGATTTAATTAGAAGGAAAGGGTCTTGGTTAGAAAACATACCAGAACAAAAAATATAATTTTTCCAAAACCAGTTTAAAGACAACAAGTAACATTTGAATCTACAGGAGCAAGTCAATAACTCACAGGGTGTGGCATTTGGGAACACTCAAATTTTGACAAAAATGCTCCTCCAAATTTCGTCAGGCCGTTGAAGGGCATGTCTGCATGGACGGCAATTGTGTTCCCTGGGATACTTCTCTCATCCGGTCCAGACTGAGTATAAAGTAAATTAAGCTCAGACAGAAAAGATGAAAAATCATGAAATATCTACGTAAAAATAGTTAATGCAAGTCAATTGCAGCATTTAGTCACAAGACTGACTATATCCAAATGGCAAATGGCTAGCCAACAATACTGAATACTAGAATCCTTATGACTCTCCAATGCAGAAAATAACTGATCCGGAATCCATCAGAGAAAAGATATATCAAACACTACTGTTTAACTTAACAAGGTGGATTTAGCTCCTAATTAAAATAAGTAATTGAGAGAATTAATTAACTGCCAACTAAAGTTCTCTCAAATACCGTAACAGTCTCTCAATCACTCTATCAGACTAAACTGAAGGTAGGAAAGAAAACTTCACATACCATGACAACAACAAATCTATCAGTTGTAGGCTCAGGTCCAATATGAGCTCCTGTCCAGCAAACATAGACCGCACTCTTTCAGTAATTTCTTATATTTGCATGTAAAGACAACAAGAATACATCATAAAATTGACTAACCTGGGTATTCACACCTCAGCAAATGCTTTATGAAAGTAGTTTTGCCCGTAGAATACTGACCAAGGAGCATCACCATGGGTTTAGCATCAAAATCACTATTTGTCTGCAAACAAATATAACTGATTACTCTTCTCATGATTCTACAACGAAAGCAGAAACTAGACAGAACAAATATAACAGAACAAGCTGCCGCTCCAAAAATCAAAGAAAATAAAAAATTACACAGTATATGAATTGAATCTGCTCAATTTCACTCACCAACGAAGGGGACACAAAATCATTAAAACGATAAGCAACTTCAAGAGGCTTCAGCTTTTCTACATACAATCTCTTCAAACCATCAACAATTGATGTAACCGAATATTGAGGCGCCTGTGCCTGAGAAGAACGAAAAAGGCATCGATGAGATGACCTCCAGGTAGTATAAAAAAATGACATATCACGTTAAGAAATAGAAAATACTATCCCCTGAGAAACTTAAAAGGAACACAACCAACAAACGACCAAGAAAGTAATTCCTTGTGCAACAAGACAAATACTCGAAGCTCACCTTCCTCCCAGATTTTGGAGCAAACCATTGAGATGATGGCGGTGGCAGGGGCTGAGCACTTCCTGCATTGTAAGATGTACTAGTTAACAGAAAGAGCTCACAAATAAATGCTTCCAAAGTGATAACAAGTACAGCTCTCACCATTTGTTACAGGATCGACAACAACTGTTGAGTTCTTGCTTTTCTATCAAAAGGAAAGAGGCAAAAATAAGTACTCAAGCTATAGAAATATCTGATCTTAAAAAGCGGGCCACAGCAAGGGTTACAAAAGAAATTCACTTACAGCAACCACGGCATCCAACCCTTCCATCATAGGAGGATCGATCTTCTCCACATCAGCTGTCAACAGCACGTGCATCCATAAACCAATTAACAGATGTATCAGCAGAGCTTAAATAAATAGCGAGAATAGCATGATGTGGCATGTCAGCCATGTTTTGCAGAAGCTTCTATTAAAATGGAGAAAGACTACTCCTCAAACTTAAAACCTCTAAACATTACAAGAACACGCAGTAGCACTACCCTTCAAATGGTACACAATGAGGAACTTTCTATACTCTTGTCATGAATGACACCCAAGCAGCAGAAAATTAGAAATTCGTAAGCATGATTAAATTGTAAACAAACTGAAACTGTAATTCTTGTATCCAAAAACAAAACCCTGAAATTGTAATTCACTAGAAGGAATAGATTGTTTCACTATTCATGGAAAAATTTTGCATATTGCCGAGATAACTGATGCAAACATGGGTACACTCACTTAAAGCACTAGGCCAAGAGGGACAACTATCGTGGTACGAGGCAATTTTTATCCCTTTCCAAATGGTCGTTTTGGTCAAAATATAGGAATAGGTAGGATTAGTGATGGTCCACATAAGATCCAAGTGGCCTTTGATTCTTAGTTTCCCAGAGTTTTCCCATAGAATGCTTCACTTATATTTGTCTTTTGGCTATTGTAATTCTTTCAATGGCAAGATGAAATTTTTCTGTTTATTAGCCAGTCTCCATTTCTTGAAGTTAATTAGCGTAGAAAATAAGTAACTTTAGAAAGTAAAAACAATTGTCTGGAAGTAGAACATATGAGCAACTTGCCTTCAAACTTAAGGCTGCTGGGGGTTAATTCAACTCCTTCTTGGGCCAGAGAAATCAGCTGTTCACTTCGACATGTTAAAAGAGAAATTGCATCCTACAAGTTATCAAAAACAATACACACCAGAAACAAACGCGACAAAGTATAACCTGCACAGCAATAATAAACTCATGCAAGCCAAGAAACCCTTGACGTTTGGAATCTGCAATGGCCCAAACCTGAAGAGAAGGTCAAACAACTGAGAAGTTTAGGTTTAGGCAACAACGGGCTCCCAATTAAATACCAGTGGATACTACCGACAAGATGAAAACAACCCACATTTCAAAATTGCCGAGAACTTCTGTAAAAAACCATACTTTGGACACAATCATTAATGACAACCACATAAAATTAAGCCATGCCTAGACTTTACTGCACTATTTGCCATATACTCCAATTCAAGCAGAACTCCACCACGGGAGATCACGATAGAGCGTTTCAAGGGTGAGCTCAAAGATAACACCTTGCAGTACACAATCAACCCGAAACTTCAACTATCGGTTTATCAAGCGACAACTCGCTCTTTCAATCCTATCTTTGGCCAAATGCGGAGCACTTCCCACATTCAACTTCACACGTTCAATCCCCTATAGCAACCCATACAAAATCCCCCCAAAATGGAATCGGAAGCGAACCAAAACACTGCCCAAAAAGTCCCACTTTCATTTAATTCATCATCAGACAATAGGACAACTCAATTCCGTACTCTTAACAATGGACAGACACAACAACCTGCTTGAGCTCCTGCCGCGAAAGCTTCGACATGGCGAAGAACTTCGTGGCGGCATCTCCAGTAATGCGCCCATCTCCATCTACAAAAAAAAACCAACAACCATTTCAAAAAAAAAAAAAACCGAAAACCACAAGCGGGCGACACATTCCATCGCCGAACGACGAACAGCAACAGTGAGCAGCCTTGGAGAAAATCGCGATCCGGCGACATTGTCCACAGGTCCCCCGATCGAGCCAGCGAATCACCGAACGAGCCAAAACGCGGCTCGATCGGAAGGCGGAGACGCGAACCTGAATCGGCGAAGTTGAACCACTCCTGATAGATCCGCTGGTGGTCCTTGGAGCACAAGCCCAACGCGCCGGACTTGATCTCCATCGCCGGCGAGCAAGCGAGAGCGAGAGAGAGGGAGAGATTGAAAGGAATTTTGAAAGCGTTGTTGTGGAGTGAAGTGAAAGTGAAAATGAAAAGTGAGAAGGAAGAGAGAGATTTTATATCAGTTTTGGCGTCGGGGGTCAAAACGGCGTCGTCTCGGGGCTTTCAGACGATCGACGAAAACGGTCGGCTTTCTTTTTTTTGATTTTTGAATGAGCTCCGCCGTGTGGGAGATTGCGCTCGTGTGCTCTCGCGCGTTGATTAGACCCCGTGGACCCTACGGTGGGTGAGCGACAGGTGGCAGGCCTTGGGTGGGCGTTGGGAGTTTGTTTCGGATTAGCGCGGTTGGACGGCAAATGAAATGTGTGAACCGATTTAATCTTTTATATGCTAGACGCTTTTTGATCGAATTTGGAGCTCGATTTGAAGCTCGCGAAGGCGCGAATCGGGCTTGTCTACGTGGGGCCCCGCATTGGGCCCGTGGAATCGATTGCGAAACGAGGCGGGTTTCGAACTTTCGACACGAGAAAGTCCGGTAAGTAACTCGATTTGGTGGAGTGACCAGACCGTGGTATTGTTTGTAACTTATGGTATTGGGCGCATGAGTCATGCCCGTATTGTGCATATACATGTCTATTTCCTAATAGTCGAGCATATTCGATGGGATCGAAACAAGGTGGATTTGTTTTTTTTTTTTTTTTGTCATGCGTATCATTGAGTTAGATTTAGGAGTGATCAGTTCCAAGATAGATAGATTTCGGATTAAAAACCTAAAACTTACCATGCCAGAGTCGGCTTTTGATTTCTGAACTCGAGAATCGAACCGATTCCCTCGGGATCCGGCTTGGAACCAAAATCAGCCGGTTGAGAACAAAACCAATTCTTTTTTCAACCTTTAAACAAATATCGTGTAACTATTATTTTAGAAAAATAGACCATGTGAACAACCTATGATATCGTGGTTAGGGCATCGATGGATTTCCCAGGCTTTCCAAAGTTCGAAATCCCAATTTTTATCCAAGAACCTACGGTAACGAACTACTTTTGCAATGATCTGCTCAAGCATTGTTGATTCCAACCTTAGCTTGAATTCTTCCTCGTGTCTGGAGTAACTCGAGCAAATGTCACAATCACAATCCTTCTAAGGGAGTATCAGATCAAAACTTGCAAGTTCTTACGGACGACATGAACTCTTTTCTTTCAATTCACTGGACAAGGAGGGAAAGAGTTTAAGCAATGCAATGTCAAAGAATATATAAATCTCAATCAAACGAACTGTTTTTAAAAGTCTTAAGCAATGACCCGTTTCACAGTAATCATCGAAATCAAAAGTATAATACGTCATGTCTTAGGCGAAAAGCCGAGATGCAAACGGGAAGCTTCTCAGAATCACTCCCTCCCTCCAAAACATGGACAGCAACATATCTGCAAGAACATCCCAAATTGAAGATCATTGATCTGTGTGAAGAGCTGATGAAAAATGGGACATTTACTAATGGAGCGGAATCGTTGGATATATTCGGATACCTTTGATCTGGAGGAAGAGGAGCTTTCTTGATTCTTCTGATTGCTCGAGTAGGTGATCGGCTCGGGGGGCAGGACCGGGAACTTGGAGGATTCGTTGTGCTTTTCCTCTTTCACTTTGTTGAAGATGACGGTGAAGCTCTCTCCCGATCTCGGATCGGTTTCATCCCAGGCCCCAAATTTCGGTATTGAAGGCGCTCTCCGATGCTGTCTACCCCGGAAAAAACAGAAAAAGTACAATGTCATACCGTATTATCACTTTCGCTGCAGGGATTGATCACGCAACACAATGACTATATTACTGCCAATTGTAAACAAGAAAAATAAGTCTGAAAACAAAGCGCAGCAGCATCCTGTTTGCTCGAAGAAACACGAGATTCTCATTAGCAGGGACTATAGTTGCTCCATAAAGGGTAGGAGATTCTCCAGAAGAAACATGAGATTTGCTTCTGGTCGCGACGTGCTATGGGTGACAGTTCCGCCTTTTGGCAATTGTTCTTTTTCTGGCTTGAGATCTGAACGATGCAGAATTAGATAGCAGAATGATCAATCTTACCACTTTTGGTGAATCTACTTGAATCTCATCTAGGACATAGTGCCAATGACCATTTTACAGTAGCACTGAGCTCATGCTATAACCTCGTGATAACTTCCATTAGCATATGTAATGGCTAATCAGCTGCTAGAAAAGGCTACTAAGGAGAAAAAGTCACAGCAATTAGATGTGCTAGATTGAATCTAAGATCACAAAGTACAGACTTACGGAATCATTGGATGGTTGACTTCCACTCCTTTGTCTTGCTTGCTTTGGAGCACTAGTCACCGAGGGCGACAAGCTGTTGCTGCTCTCTGTCAGCCCTTTTTTGCGGTCTGGCCTAGCGCGATGCTGACCTGAGTTTCGGTGTGAATTGGAACTGCTCTTTTCACTGCCGGATTCTGACCGAACACTGCCACGGCTCGCCGTACTCTTGTGCTGATCTGAAGGGGTCCTCCGGTGCGCATCGAACCTTCTGTGCCCTTCACTTATGTTGTGCTCAAAAGCATCCGAAGCTCGGCGATCGTCGTCGATCTCCATGCCTCGCCTCCCGAACATGAACATCTCCGGGTTCTCCTCAGGATCGTTCGGGTTCATCTTCACGCCTGCTTTCTCCTTGCGCGCGTTCTCGAAGCAGGTCGTGTACGGTATGTTGTCGCTGTCCCAGTTTCCAAACTTCGGAACGTGCGAATGTTGCTGCAGCAAAGCCACCCCGCAACTGGTGAATGGTGATTCACTGATTCTTAAGAACAACAGACACTAAAACATTGATCGCCTCTTTGCTTTTCAAACAATTATGGGGTCAAAGATTTTTGGTGGGTAGCAAAGTCTTTTAGGTGGGAGTTGTGTTATGAACTTATCTCTGTGAGGTCCAGCTCCAACCCTCTTTGAATTCAATGTGGTAACTTTATCTAGAGTTTCATGAACAATCCTACATGTTGTTTGCCAGTTGTGAACTGAATTAGTTTGAAATGACTTTTAGAAGACATTGACTCATGCACTTGTAGGAAAACCAGAGAAAAACAAAATCCTAGGATAAGGATTGTAGGAGCTGGTCTGTTGAATTTCATTCAAGTGAAAAAACAAAAAAAAAAAATTCCAATTTCTCAAGGAAAAAAGATAGTTGAGATTCATGTGGACATGTTATTTGCCACTCCACCTAAATTTTACAGGAAAACATAACAAGTTGTTGTCAGTATTTAATTCCCAACCGTAGGGTGGCTACGCCATCTTGTTAAACCCATGATTTCATTGAACCTTCCCTGAACAACAAGGGGCAGTCCATAATCATCTCAACCCTAGTCCCTATCTTATAACTAATAATCAACAAAACCATACAAATCTTCATATTAATCACTTTATCATATTTGTTTAGGAATTTACTAATCTCATAGCAAAGGTTAAAAGCGTTAAATTACTGAGACAACTGAAGGAATTACCGACATTCATCGAGAAATTTACCATCCATGGACACTTAATTCGTAATTCTGATGACTGAGCCTCCATAGAGTTTTGCATGTTCATTTCATACTTACTATGTCAGGCCTCCGCCATCTCAAGTTTTGAAACATTTCGATAGTCGTCCTTCTAATTCGGCAGAGTATTCGAACAAGAGGTCGTATTCGATTGAGAATCGTCCTCAAAATCCGATGACTAAAATAGGCAAATACTTGTTTGGTTGATTGAGCATTCACTCATCAATTCGGTGACAACAAACCCAATAAAGAAAAAAGACCTTCAAGAACTCACAAAAACAGAGTCCAGTCAGCTAAATCCATTCAAACCCTCTACCTATCTACTAACTAAAACACAAACAAAAGAAATTACAAGCTAATCACATCTAAAACACACAAGTTCTCAAACACCCTGAACAAGTCAATCAACAATAATGATAGTTGAAGAGCACTTACTGCCATTTGGTGAGGTAACTCGGGGTTTGAACAGAAGCCGCTTCTTAGCCCTTTTTCTGATTGAATGAAGAGAAACCAGTGAGGGTTGAAGATTGGATGAAGTTTGCCGAGTCACGCCTGAGACTCTTTCCAGGTGGGCTTCGACTTGAAAATAGTAAATCCCAAAGATGAGCCGACGATACATGAACTTCAGATCAATGTTAAGTATTAATAAGAACGACCATAGAGTTAGAGAAAGCCATTTGGGACGCGACCGGCCAGGATGTTTTCGTTGCCGTCTCTTAGTTTGCAGTGAAATCTCCGCCAAATGATTGTCAAATGACTGACTTGAACCTTGTCATCTGCTTTGCATCCGAGACCATGTCAGCATGCAATAAAATCTATGTCCAAAACAAAAAAGAGAGAAGAAATTGGGGGTGATTATGAGGTACACGCACCGAGCATTTTGTCCATCTTGTTGTCTTCGAACGGGGAAGGGGTAATAACCCTGCAAGTATATGAATTTTCGTTCAATTTACAATCAAGCATTTAATATTTTTTCTATTCAATTAAATACCTTGACTTCTCGAATGTGGGTCGACGTGAGATCTCCATTAAATAAATTGTCGTGTTGTGTGATTTTTCTTATGTGGCTCGCTATTTAGCAAAAATTAAGCCCAATTGGTAACTTGGCTTTCTAACTAAGCAAAAATTATGCCATATCTATTTTGGTGGTGGGCGATGAGGAGAGAGTGAATGTTGATTTGACCAATCTCGCTCGTCAGAGACGATAACATCATTTGAAGAGGCCACATCGAACTCCAATTTGGATAATTAACGGCTATTAAACGACCTTAGAGTCCAATTTTTGACATTTCTCATCTGCGATTTTGACGGAGGTCTCGTGTTAACCCACATTTGAAAAATTGGGCTACTTCTTTCAATAAAACAAAATCTAGGTACTCGAATGTGAAAATGATAAAAGTTTAGGTATTTGTGATTCGATTATCCCTAGTAGCGAACAAGGGGAATGACCCCACGAAGTATATTTCATGGCATCGTCACGGAACCTTCCTCGTTTTTGGAGCTTGCTCAGCGTGTGGCAGAGAATTTGTTTTTTTGGCTCTTCCATATTCTCTTTTGCTGAAAAGCCCTCGTAAAAAATGAGGTTCTGGGTTTAATCCTTTAACTTGTAGCATTTTGCAATCTCGTCCTTCTACTCTAGGAAGCAATCAATTTCTCTAAATTTGCTTAACTCGTTCCTTTACTTCGGCATATGGCTCCGGTAATTCCCTGACGTAACATAGCTGACGTGGGAAACCAGGTGCAGGTGTGGCATGCCACACCAGCATAACACAGAAAAAAGTAGGTGGAAAAAGGAAAGATAGAGAGAGAAAATTGCCAATAAGTGTTCATCTTTCTTTACGTAGCCGGTTATAACGTTCTTACCGGTAACGAGCATGATGGAAATGAATAGAAAAAATTACCTAAAAAGTCTTAGTCAATTCAGTACCAAACTTTGTTTTTTGCTAATTCATTTCTAAACCTTTTACATTTGTGCCAATTCAATTCATCCGGCTAATTTTGGCCGGCCGATACTAACGTTGACAATTTTTAGTAATATTTTATTTTTTAAATTTTTTATTAATTTTCTTTTCTATTTTTTTCCCCACGGTGGTCAGCCCTCGCCCCACCTTGCTATGGCCTCGCCAACTATGGCAAAGGCACCATTGCCTCAGATTTGTTGAGGGCGAGCCTTGCTCGAGGCCAGTGAGGTCGCCCCTCGCTAGATCCCTACAAGGGCGACCTCGCCTAAGGCCGGCAAGGTTCCTCGCCGATTGTAGCCTCTGGCCAGTCACCATAGGCTGGGTGACTGGGTGACGAGCAGAGGAAGAAGAGGGAAAAAAATGAAAAGAAAAAAAGAAATTAAAAATATAAAAAATTTAATAAAATTAGTCTATGTCAGCGCTGACCGTGCCACGTAGAACGGCCGACATCCACGTTAGCAAATTTCGGTCAAAGTTGGTTGAATGAACTCAATTGGCAAAATTTGAAAAGGCTTAGAACTCAATTGATAAATTTGAAAGGTTTATGACTGAATTGGCAAAAGTGCAATAGATTTATGATTTTTTGGATAATTTTCCTAGAAAAAGTTGGTACCTTGATCATATAAATATTGGTAATTCATATATGAAACAGATAGAAAACTTGGCGAGTGAACAGTTGGTAATTGGCAATCTTACATAAAAAAAGTTGGTAATTTCATAAAGTGATAATGCCATGGCAATTGCTAAACTTTTCTTCGATGTCCAATCTAATGCATGAACTTTTTTTTTGTCCAATTTGGCACCTAAACTTTTTGAAATCGGGTCAGTATGGTCCTTCCGCTAATTGAAGTGCCATGTCACTTGTTTTCTGTCTCTCGTCATTATACTATTCAATCGTAACTCATTTGTATTTAAGAAAAAACATATCTTTTTACTTGAACATAACAATGTGAATTCAAAGTTTTTCCTAATACTAATTAGTAGACAAAAGCTTCTATTGTTTTATGGGCCTTATTTGCGAACAAATATATCGTTTACGAAGTATAATTCATATTATGTTTGTGAATTTCTATTTTTGCGATAATTGGTCTCCTCGAATCTTGATAATTTTAAGTTTATATGCAACTTTCACAACCAATGATGTGTGTTAAATTATATTATATTTACACTTAAATTGTTCATACTCCATTTGAATAGCATTTTGTACGACAGTTCGTGGAATGCATGCATGCGGGTTAACTCTCTGATTAGCATCATAAACCACGACCGTTTTGCAATAACATCACAATCAACTCGAGAGTGTCATCTCGACACGAAATGCACGAGGCACTTAGAATACCAGGGACACCCAATTGAAACGTAAACAAAAACCATGGACTTAACCTTAAAAAGTTAAAAACATGCACGAGTTGTAGCCCCCTTCTCATGCATGGTCGGTGAAATAGTCCATTGCATTTGGCATCATCCTCGCATAGCTCCAAAGCTTCATAAAACAAGTTCTAAGACGAGGAAAAATGGCGATGACCGGCATTTAAAATGCTCGAAACTCGAGGAAAATGAAACGGCATAAGCATCCATGCGAGCGTAGTAAAACTGCACGGGAATTCGTGTTTTTCAGTAGAATCCAAATTAAGGTCTCGCGAATTCCTGAAATATGATTGGTTGGGTCTAGTAAAAAAAGTGTGTTTGATAATCGTATAATCATTTGGTATAGATGTGGCCAAACTGCAGATTTTCTGTGCTTGGAAGTGTTGTAATTAGTTGTTTGGTAATACATGTTTCAAAGTTATGGCATTTCAAAGCCGGGTGAGGCAACTTCCGGAAAGTTGCTATAGACTATTGTGATTTTGGAGGTGCTATGGTTATTGAGATGTTTGTCAAACACCTTTTGCCACGATCCCTTTTCTCACGGCTGAAGCGCCGTGGGAAAGTTGTACTAGATAACCTCTACATATCGAATGTCGTTAATTGCATTTGCTAACCTCTCAAGACACACAACTCAATTGATTTTTTTTCAAAATTCAAATAATTGCATAATGCAGTAAGTAAAAAAGGCTACTAAATTTATTAAGTGATAACTATTCAACATATATTAAACTTACTAATGATTATATATCGTCAAAATCTTCTGATAATGCTCCCTATTTCTGATAATAAAATGCATTTTTTCACCTTCATTTATTATCGAACAACTTTTTCTTTATTTTCATTTTCAAAGTTTAATTTTTCAGCACTTAATATTCAGTATTTGAATTTTCACCGGTTATGTCTTGGCTCCATCTAAATATCCTCGTTCGAAAGCCCTAACACTCCCGTCTCCTCCTACAAATAGACTCCCTCATCAGACCCCTCAAAACCACGCTAATCACTTCACCAAAACCAGACCGAAACCATCTATCTCTATCTATATATCTCGTAGGAGGAAATGGCCAAGCCGCAGGTGGAATTGGTGTTCTCCTTTCTTTACACCGCGAGCCTGATGTTCCTCTTGGTCACGTGCATCGTGGGGAACAAGCCGCAGCCGATCGACTACATCTCGTGCAGCAATGCCCTGAAGGCTTTGATGCTGTGCATTCCGTACCTGAACAGGGCCGAACCGACGCCCACCGGGCCGTGCTGTTTGGCCGTGGAGAAGGTGAAGGAGCTGGCGAACACGACGGAGGTACGGTGAGAACTGTGCGAGCGATTCAAGAAAGCCGCTCCCGGTCTGGGAGTCGAACCCGGAAACGCCAGGGCCCTTCCCGAGCGCTGCCATATTCAGTTGCCTGTGCCCATTGATCCCAAAATCGATTGCAGCAAGTAAACTAAGCATCTCTCTGTCTCTCTGTCTCTCTGTCTCTGTCTCTGTCTCTCTCTCAGTGGTGTTGATGCTTACTTGAAGTTTGTTTGGTGTTGTTTTGTTTGCAGGGTTCCATTTGGAAGTTATTACTATCCTGGGGCATGAAGAGATCTTCAAAAAAAGAAAGAAAAAAGGTGAGAATAATCTTGTAATGAAATGTTCGGTTCCAATGAGAAAAAAGCCAACCTCGCATTCCATGCTTTGTATGAAACGAGATCAATGAAGTGAAGTTAGAAAGTCCTAAACTTT